CCCAGCTGCAACAGCTGCAACCCTGGTAGTTCTCATGAAAATGCCAAGTATCTGCACTGGTACTCGAAAAGTATCTGTGCATCCCTAATATATATATTGTAAATACACATTACAACAAATGAATGTTGCTTTCTTCTCAGATATTTTGACATCTCCCTCCCGCTGTTTCGTCCAATAGAAATGGTTTTCCAGTCTGGAGTGCTGCAGAGACATTCTTTTGCCATTTGTATAATTTACAGTAGTAAGCTACTACAGCTGTGGCAAGATCACTCGTCTCGTATATGATATGCAAATGCTTAATTGCACTAGAGATGGTATTAAAAACCTATTCCGGATCAGCAATTGTAGACTGATCTATTAGCTGCATCTGTTCCTGGAATGGCGCTCTCTCTCTCTCCCTCGCTCCCCCTCACTCAGCAGGTTGCCGGGCTCACTTGCTTACAGAATGATGAATAAGCTGTCGGTGAAACAGGTTGCAGAATATCACTGTATTGCCCAGCAGGCGCTAGTGTTTTTATTTATGGAACTCTATTTTTGTTACTTCGATCACAAATCAGATTTCAGCCTTCCTAGAAGACTCCCGGGGGCCACCAAGGAAAATAAAAAGTTTCACTTTCAGTTTTTTTATTCTATTTATTTTGTTCTATTTATTATTTTTTATTATTTATTTTATCCTATTTATTATTTTCTACTAGTCTTCCGATCATATACATTGGTGTAAAAGATTAGATTTATCAATCTGTTCGAGTATAGAGGCACGTAAGGACAATAACATGGGACCATATATCAATATTTTTACCAGACTCCTTCTTCTCTCACCTTTTCACTCTCCCAGCATATCACTAAATCCAACACTTAGGGGTCTATTTATAAAAAATCTGTGAATGTTCGTTCACTGTGAATGGATGCATAAATCAAACGTTCTTGTATATTTTCTTGAACACACACTGCCTGGCCAAAAATCACACATTCTAATATTTTGTTGGACCTCCATTAGCTTTGATCACGGCACACATTCGCGGTGGCATCATTTTGATAAGCTTATGCAATGTCACAACATTTATTTCCATCCAGAGTTCCATTCATTTTTCTCCTAGATCTTGTAGTGATGATGGGAGAGTCGGAGCACAGCGTGAAGTCTTCTCTAGCACATCCCAAAGATTCTCAATGGCATTCTGGACTCTGTGGTGGCCGATCCATGTGTGACAATGATGCCTCATACTCCGTGCACAACTCTTTCACCATTTGAGTCCAATTAATCCTGGCATTGTCATCTTAGTCAACAATACGGCCCCACAGTCAACAATACGGCCCCACAGTCAACAATACGGCCCCACAATCAACAATACGGATCCACAGTCAACAATACGGATCCACAGTCTACAATACGCATCCACAGTCAACAATACAGCCCCACAGTCAACAATACAGCCCCACAGTCAACAATATGGATCCACAGACAACAATATGGATCCACAGACAACAATACAGCCCAGCAGTCAACAATACAGCCCCGCACTCAACAATACGGCCCCACAGTCAACAATATGGACCCACAGTCAACAATACGGCCCCACAGTCAACAATACGGCCCCACAGTCAACAATATGGCCCCACAGTCAACAATGCGGCCCACAGTCAACACTACGGCCCAAAAGTCAACAATATGGACCCACAGTCAACAATACCGACCCACAGTCAACAATACGGCTCCACAGTCAACAATATGGCCCCACAGTCAACAATATGGCCCCACAGTCAACAATATGGCCCCACAGTTAACAATATGGCCCATGCAGGCACCACTGGTAGTTTTCCAGAACTGGGGTCGATATGGCTCGGTATCCACATGAACAACGACACACAAATGTAAAAACAATATTTTTAAAACATGATCCTCCAGATCTGCTAAAAATTAAGTCCTCACTTTTTGTTTCTGTCTATAATATTCTAAACGTGCCCAGCTGTACGTATGAAGAGACGATGACATTCCTGTATTTATAAATTATATGTAGAAACATAGTCTGGATGTAAATTAAAAGGGAGGATTGGAAACACTCGCCTCCTTTACTTTTCATGACTTGAGGAAACTCCCCATTTCCTTGGTACCTGGCATGCACTTTTACTAATATATTGCTTTACATATTTTTAAAGTTCCCCCCTCCCCCCCCCCACGTGCATCGCGCTTGCGGTGCCGTTCATTGGTATGGTCAGGAAATCTTTCATTTTTGCAACTTGCTTTGAGACGGAATTTTTCTGATTTAAACTTTGAATTTGGGGCTGTTGAGTCGCTGGTGAAAAGTCACTTAGCTGTGTAAGCAATGAGCTTCTTTTACAAACAAGCAAACTGGGAGTCTTTGAGGCCCTGTCCAAACCTCGGTGTTCTGGGAAGGTGCACTGCATTGGCAAACGGTGGCACACATTTGCATTCACATGTTTGAGTGTGTGTCTTTAAAGCCCCGTTCACACCTTGGTGTACTGGGAACGTGCAGTGCGTGTTTTCTTTCCCTGCGTCTGCCGTGCGACGTTCTTTGATTTCAATGGGTGCTGCATGCGTGACAAAAGATGGAAAGTAGCCAGGGGCGTCCCGAGGCTGGGTGACACCCGGAGCGGTGTCTGAGTGTCACCCCGCCGAGACGTCACCG